GGCGGGCGGGTGGCTCGCGGACGGTCGGTGCACGGGCGGCGCCAGCGGCTCACGGACGGGCTCGTGGCGCACGGGCGGGCGGCTTACGGGCGGCGCCGGCTCACGGTCAGGCGGCGCGCGGGTGGGCGGCTCACGGGCGGCGGCTCACGGGCGGCGGCTTCGCAGACGGCGGCGGCGCACGGGCGGCGTCTGACGGGCGGCTGCTTACGGGCGGCGGCTGACGGGCGGCGCCCACGGGCGGTGGCTAACGGGCGGCGCTCACGGGCGGTGCTCACGGGCGGTAGCTCACGGGCGGCGGCTCACGGGCGGCGGCTCACTGGCAGGCCGCGGGCGGCTCACGGGCGCTAGGGCGGGCGCCGGGCGCTAGGGCGCTAGGGCTGGCGCTAGGGCGGGCGCTAGGGCGGGCGCTAGGGCGCTAGGGCGGGCGCTAGGGTGGGCGCTAGGGCGCTAGGGCAGGAAAAAAAACAAGAGGCGACGAAATCGTCTTAGGGTTGCGAAGCGTTTTGTGTAGTTACATAACTTTGTACAACTTCTTATTCTGTACGTTATGCTGTAGTATGACACTAACTAGTACCTCCTCTCACTAGGCAAAGATTTAAGAAACATCAGCAGGTATCGAACATGAGATCTCTCGATTCCACATTCAATATAATACGACTGTGACAGAACTAATGTCCAACTGAAATATCTAATTTTTTCAGTCTGCAAACTGTGCGACACAAGGCCAGTTACCCAGGTGTTACGCGAATGTTCTGAGGGTCGCGAAGCGTCCCGAACAGAACCTTCCCGAACTCGGTAGAAAGCAATTCGGTGGCGACCGAATAGCTTGAGTTCGGTGCACGTAACCTGGTTCGGTGCCTATACCTATAATAACTATAGTATAGTAACGAACCTAGGAAATCAAGCAATTCATGCATGCATAAAATAATCCTAAGCTAGGAATAGCGTAAGGAAATAATAGCAAGCATGAATAACAAGCATAAGCCGACATACTCTCACACGCCACCCAGCTTTGAGGGGACGCCCTTAGGGTTTGTCCGTCCCTTTTTTCTCCCGCTTCTCTTTTCTCGCTGGTCACGCTCTACCAACTTCTCCACCTACTCTAACTGCAACTTAGGTAAGAAGATCCCTCAGCTCTAACTCCAACTAAGTTAAATGCCTATTAGATAGACTAACATTCAGTCATTCCGTATCTTAACTGTGTAAATGTTTGAGTGTTAGCTAGACTGAGTTGTTTAAACTTAGGTTCTAGGCCCTTCGTAAAAAATTCAGGTTCTTCTTGTTTTTTTCTTAAGATTTCGTTTCTTTCTTCATAAGCTTGCATCTGTTTCTTCTATTCTTCATCCTTAACTTTTCCTTTCCTCGGTTGCCTTTTCTTCCTACTTGTTCTAGTTCATTTTTTTCTCAACCTTGTCTTAGGTTGTACATAAAGATTGTAATAGGTTGCACGTTCAGTCCATTTCGTCCTCTCTCGCTCGTTCTCTCTCTCCCGTTCTCTCTCTCCCGTTCTCTCTCTCCCGTTCTCTCTCGCTCGTTCTCTCTCTCCCGTTCTCTCTCTCCCGTCCTCTCTCGCTCGTTCCCTCTCGTTCTCTCTCTCTCGTTCTCTCTCTCTCTCGTTCTCTCTCTCTCTCTCGCGTTTTCTCTCTCTCTCTCTCTCTCGTTCTCTTTCTCTCGTTCTCTTTCTCTCGTTCTCTTTCTCTCGTTCTCTCTCTCCCGTTCTCTCTCGCTCGTTCCCTCTCTCTCGTTCTCTCTCTCTCGTTCTCTCTCTCTCTCTCTCTCTCTCTCTCTCTCTCTCTCTCTCTCTCTCTCTCTCTCTCTCTCTCTCTCTCTCTCTCTCTCGCGTTTTCTCTCTCTCTCATTCTCTTTCTCTCGTTCTCTCTCTCTCGTTCTCTCTCTCTCTCTCGTTCTCTCTCTCTCATTCTCTCTCTCTCGTTCTCTCTCTCTCTCGTTCTCTCTCTCTCTCGTTCTCTCTCTCTCTCTCTCTCTCTCTCTCTCTCTCTCTCTCTCTCTCTCTCTCTCTCTCTCTCTCTCTCTCTCGTTCTCTCTCTCGTTCTCTCTCTTTCGTTCTCTCTCTCCCTCTCGCGCTCTCTCTCTCGTTCTCTCTCTCGCGTTCTCGTTCTATCTCTCTCGTTATCTCGTTCTCTCTCTCTCGTTCTCTTTCTCTCCCTCTCGTTCTCGTTCTCTCTCTCTCTCTCTCTCTCTCTCTCTCTCTCTCTCTCTCTCTCTCTCTCTCTCTCTCTCTCTCTCTCTCTCTCTCGCGTTTTCTCTCTCTCTCGTTCTCTTTCTCTCGTTCTCTCTCTCTCGTTCTCTCTCTCTCTCTCTCGTTCTCTCTCTCTTTCTCTCTTTCTCGTTCTCTCTCTCTCGTTCTCTTGTTCTCGTTCTCGTTCTCTCGTTCTCTCTCTCTCTCTCTCTCTCTCTCTCTCTCTCTCTCTCTCTCTCTCTCTCTCTCTCTCTCTCTCTCTCTCTCTCTCTCTCTCGTTCTCTCTCTCGTTCTCTCTCTCTCGTTCTCTCTCTCACTCGTTCTCTCTCTCTCTCTCTCTCTCTCTCTCTCTCTCTCTCTCTCTCTCTCTCTCTCTCTCTCTCTCTCTCTCTCTCTCTCTCTCTCTCGTTCTCTCGCTCTCTCGTTCTCTTGTTCTCGTTCTCGTTCTCTTGTTCTCGTTCTCGTTCTCTCGTTCTCTCTCGTTCTCGTTCTCTCGTTCTCTCTCGTTCTCGTTCTCGTTCTCTCGTTCTCTCTCTCTCTTGTTCTCTCTTGCTCGTTCTCTCTTTTCAGTTCTATCTCTCGTTCTCTCGTTCTCGTTCTCTCGTTGTCGTTCTCTCGTTCTCTCTCTCTCGTTCTCTCGTTCTCGTTCTCTCGTTCTCGTTCTCTCGTCGTCGTTCTCTCGTTCTCTCTCCCTCTCGTTCTCTCACTCTCGTTCTCTCTCTCACTCGTTCTCTCTCTCTCTCTCTCTCTCTCTCTCGTTCTCTCTCTCTCTCTCGTTCTCTCTATCTCGTTCTATCTCTCTCGTTCTCTCTCTCGTTCTATCTCTCTCGTTCTCTCGTTCTCTCTCTCTCTCTCTCGTTCTCTCTCTATCTCTCTCTCTCTCTCTCTCTCTCTCTCTCTCTCTCTCTCTCGTTCTCTCTCTATCTCTCTCTCTCGTTCTCTCGCTCTCGTTCGGTCTCTCGCTCTCGTTTGTTCTCTCGCTCTCGTTTGTTCTCTCTCTCGTTCGTTCTCTCTCGTTCGTCCCCTCTCTCTTGTCCTCTCTCGCTCGTCATCTCTCCCTTGTTTTGAATCCATTCTTTTTGTTTTCTCTGCTTCTTCCTTTTGGTGTTTCTTTCTTCACCAGGTTGCGCGTATGCCAGATTAACTACCTTATGATTGAGCCAAGCGATTGGGAAATGTTGGATTGTGGAATTTGATTTAGATTTTTCATAAATTTTGCATCTTCTGTTTTCATTCTTTCTTGTCTTTTCTGTTTGTGCATTTGTATGAGGTTCTATTATCGTTAGTTTGCCTTCGTGTGTGTGGGTGTGCGTACTTGCATGCATGTGTATTTTTTTATGTCCATTGCATCAACAATGCATATCTGTGAATTTTAAAAAGATGGCTCCGGTCTATCATTTCACAAAAGGTTCATTGGCGCACAAAGTGACTCGTGTGTTGCCACTTCGAACTGGATTTGATAGGCTTGACCATTTTTTTAGGATTTACAGATTGTGTTGTTTCATGTGATAGTTGATTATTCAAAATCTATGCTATTGACCTCCCCCCCATGCTAGGCAGGGGATGGCGGTAGCTTAGTTTTTGGGTAGTTAACTGTTACGCATTTTATTATGCGCATGCATGATCATCATGATTCATGACATATCATAATAAACATTATGCATCCTATAGCATTATTTATGAATCATGCATCAATTTATCATTACCACAGCACCATTTACCGGTAATAGAAAAGCATACTAATGCAAACAGTACAACATATCTGCACAAAATCATCTACAAAGAAAGATCATATGGTTTAATATACTGTGAACAGCATTCAAAACTCTTCAACATGTACACAGTATGGGAAGGTTACTATAGCTCACGAATCTTATTTTCATGTTTTATTAAAAATAATAAACATGAAAATAAAATTTGTCAAAATCGATCGTAAAGGGTTGCTTCGCAACCCAAAAAAAAAATCGAAGTGGTGGGCCCTAAGCAAAGTTCCCTCAGGGGAACCTGCTCTGATACCATGAGAAGAAGTGAACGAGAGAATGAATGAACTATGAACGAGGTGAGTACAAATAGGAAACCCTAATTGGGTTGTACCTCCTATGGGATACCCCACTATAGCCTACACAAATAAGTAAGCTATAATGTTCTCCCACCCCGTCCTTTTCTCCCATGCCCGCCGCTTTGCATTATTTCTCCCGTCTGCTTCTCCCGTGATCGTTGTCGTCCCTCCCTCTGTTCCATTCCTCGTATGCCCCATTCCCCCTACCGTCCATTCCTCCCGTTCGCTTTTCGTCGATTCACTGCCATCTGTTTCCCCCATATCCGCGGATTTCGCATTGTCCCTCCCGGGCTTCGTGATTGGCGCGCCTCGCCCCATTTAGCTCCCTACTCTATTGCGCGCCTGTTTCTGTTCCCTATCTCGGCCGATCCTTATTTTCGCGCCTCGTTCGTTCCCTATCTCGTTCGTTCCCTATCTCGTTCGTTCCTCCCTTGCGCGCCTTGTTCGTTCCCTCGTATTCCCTATCACGGACGGTGTCATTTGTCCTGGTCGTCCCAATCTGCCTATTGTCTCTTCCACGCATCCGTGCCTCGTGCATTCCGTGATCTCGTCCGTTGCTTGCATCCGCGCCTCGCTCGTCTCCCCCTCTTGTCCATTCCTTGTTCGCGCCTCGTTCCCATTCCAACTCTCGTCCGATACTCCATACCGCGCCTCGTTCTTTGCTCTCACTAGTCAGATCCTCCCTTCCGCAAGCGTACACTCTCCTTCTCTGCGCCTCTCCTCCATTGAGCGTACCCTCTCATGCCCCGCTGCTCCTCTCTTCCATTGTGTGTGCACTCTCTTTCCCCTCCGCGCCATTCGCATTTTGTCCCCATCATCTCCTCCTGTGCATATACTATCACATACACCGCTGCTCCTCTCCTCCCTTGCGCCTTCTCCTCTTTTTCCGTGAGCCCTCCCTCTCATTCCCCTCTCATTCTCTCATTCCGTGCGCCATCCTTCTCATTCCCCTCTCATTCCCCCCTCAAACTCTCATTCCGTGCGCCTTCACTCTCATTCCCCTCTCATTCTCTCATTCCGTGTGCCTTCACTCTCATTCCCCTCTCATTCTCTCATTCCGTGCACCTTCACTCTCATTCCCCTCTCATTCTCTCATTCCGTGCGCCTTCACTCTCATTCCCCTCTCATTCTCTCATTCCGTGCGCCTTCACTCTCATTCCCCTCTCATTCTCTCATTCCGTGCGCCTTCCCTCTCATTCCCCTCTCATTCCCCTCTCATTCTCTCATTCCGTGCGCCTTCACTCTCCTTCCCCTCTCATTCTCTCTTTCCGTGTGCCTTCGCTCTCATTCCCCTCTCAGTCTCTCATTCCGTGCGCCATCCCTCTCAGTCTCTCTTTCCGTGCACCTTCGCTCTCATTCCCCTCTCATTCTCTCATTCCGTGCGCCATCCCTCTCATTCCCCTCTCATTCTCTCATTCCGTGCGTCATCCCTCTCATTCCCCTCTCATTCTCTCATTCCGTGCGCCTTCACTCTCCTTCCCCTCTCATTCTCTCTTAGGGTGTGCCTTCCCTCTCATTCCCCTCTCAACCTCTCATTCCGTGCGCCTTCACTCTCCTTCCCCTCCCATTCTCTCATTCCTTGCGCCTTCACTCGCATTCCCCTCTAATCCTCTTCTCACGTGCGCGTTCTCTCGTCCCCCTCTGGTTCACTCCTCACGTGCGCGATCTCTCTCGTAACCCTCTATTCTGCGCCGCATTCCTTGCTCTCACTTGTCCCACCCTCCATTCCGCGCCTCGCCCCCATTCCTCGTGACATGTCCTGAGTTTCCTCTCATGCGAGTTTGTCCCATTCCCCTCTGCTCCGCTCCTCCCGTGCGCATGCTCCCTCTTTCCCCTCTGCGCCTATCCGCCCATGCGCAATTTGTCTTTTTCCCCTCTGCTCCTCTACCCCCTTTGCGCCTTCTCGCTCGCTCCCCTCTGAGTCTCTTCTCCAGTGCGCCCTCTCTCTCTTCCCTCTGTTTCTCTTCTAGTGTGCACTCTTTCTCTTGTTCCCGTTTGTTTCTCTTATCATGTGCGCCTACACACGCATCCCCACCTGTTGATCTTCTCTAGTTCTCTGTCTCCATCACTCCTCTCTGTTTCTCTCCTCCAGTGCACCTTCTCTCTCCCGTACGCTCGTCCTCGCTATGCTCCGTTACCTCCTACCCCTTTCATCCTATGCTTGTATTCTCTAGTTTCCCGTTCATCCTGTGATTGTCTTCGCTGGTTTTCCCCTTCCCCATCATCTCATATGCTTGTCTTCTCAGGTTTCGGCCTTCCACTGGCCTCATATGCTTGTATTCTCTGGTTTCCCCTTTCCCCTCCCCACCTATGCATGTATTCTCTGGTTTCCCCCTTCCCCTCCCCACCTATGCATGTATTCTCTGGTTTCCCCTTTTCCCTCCCCACCTATGCATGTATTCTCTGGTTTCCCCTTTCCCCTCCCCACCTATGCATGTATTCTCTGGTTTCCCCCTTCCCCTCCCCTCATATGCATGTATTCTCTGGTTTCCCCTTTCCCCTCCCCTCATATGCATGTATTCTCTGGTTTCCCCTTTCCCCTCCCCTCATATGCATGTATTCTCTGGTTTCCCCTTTCCCCTCCCCTCAAATGCATGTATTCTCTGGTTTCCCCCTTCCCCTCCCCTCATATGCATGTATTATCTGGTTTCCCCCTGCCCCCGCCCTTCAAGTCGCTTGTCTTCTCTAATTTCCCCTTCCCCTGCCCTCCTAAGCTTGTCTCCTCTTGTTTCTCCCTTCTCCTGTCCTCGTATGCCTTTCTTCCCTGGCCTCCCCCTTCCCCCGCCCTTCAAGTCTTGTCTTCTCCCGTTTCCCCCTTCTCCCCTACTCCCAAAATTCTGGCAGATGTCATTTCTCTGCCCAAGATGTCGTCTCTGTGCATTCGACACTCGATCAGGTTTGGGACGCCACATGCAGAGCAACTCCTGCCCTGCAAACCTCATTAGCAGTAGCGAGCAGCTGCAGGCCCCCAAGCGCGCAAGGTCGAGCTTCATCCCTCCTAACCCCATTCCGCGTGCAGTACTTAGGTTGGAGCCTGTGCATGCAAATGTAGGAACGGGTGTTGCGGAATATGTGTGTATTGATGTACCTCCTATTTCTCGTGCTGATCCAACAGACACTAGTGATACTTCCTCATCCTCTGATTCAGTAGATAGCGTGCTGCCCTTTGAACAAGATGACGATGCGTCTAGTAACGCTGCTGTATCTGGTGCTGATGATGATGGTGGGGAGGGAGCTCAAGCAGGTGTTGCACTGGCGGAAGAGGAAGATGCCCCTCAGTTTAACCTCAAGGATGCTCTTGCGCACTGGATCCTCTCCAACCGACTCTCTATAAGTCAGATTAACGCTCTGTTGGAAATCCTGCGCAAGACCATTCTTGAAATACAAGATTGGAAGTCCTACCGAGACGTGCAGGCGTACGCCAAGTCTAGGGCGACGGATGGCCACTGAGGTTGGCGACGAAAGACCATCCGGTCACGTAACAAGGCTTGGCTGGAGTATTGGTATTGTGATCCGTTGATTGCTCTACAGGACCTGTTGAAGAACCCCAAGCTGGCTGCCAAGATGGTGTTCCATGCAGATCCTCAATATGTGGGGAACGTGAGGGTGTACAGTACCCCCGAGACAGGCCTATGGTGGGAGAGGTTGCAAACTTTGGTGCGGGAGGAGGATCCGGATGGAGTTGTGGCTGCTTTGATCCTTGCGAGTGACGAGACGCATATGGATCATAGAGGGAAGGCGAAGGGTCATCCTGTGTATCTCACGTTGGGTAACATTGATTAGGATGACAGGTGGCAACCCTTTGGGCACGTGCTACTTGCACTGCTCCCTGAGTTTCTTGCAGAGTACAACGTAGTGGACAAGATGCAAGTCCACAATTACATCATGCGAGAGGTGCTGCGATCTCTTAAGACGGCATCCTACACCGGCATAGCTATGAAGAATGCTGCAGGCGAGTCAATCAACGTGTGGCCCTATTTGTACGCTTATGTGTCGGACTACCCAGAGTCGTGCAAGATCACGTGCACGAAATCCTTGGGTACTTTGTTTCCGTGTTCGATTTGCAAGGTGGACAAGAAGCACTTGGCAGTGCTGCAGGATCGTATCCAAGCTCGTACACCATTCGAGCAGGATACCATTGTGCGAGACATCTTAGAAGGCCGGCTTGCACTAGATGCAGAGGCAACCTTCTCCACCCACCCTGTGCAGGTATAGTATGCTGTGGGTGCTGTTTTAGGGTCATTCTATGGGCTATACCATGTGCAGAACTAACCTCTAGGTGCTGGTTCTGTTTTTTGCAGAGTTTCCTAGGTGGCTGGAGGTGGGAGTCCGATACCATTCTCAACCCGTACCTTGCGGTGCTGCCCGATGTGATGCACCAAGAAGGTTTGGGCATTTTCGAGCACATTGTCGACTTTATTCGCGCGCATGTGAAGTTACTGGCAGATAAAAAGAAGCTGGACAGAATCCTTAGGTACTACAAGAGAAGTATTAGAGGGGGGAACATGCGTTTACCCGCGGGTCAGTACTTCGAAAAGGGGGCGAACTATCAGGCATACGAACACCGGTCGGTCATGTAGACTCTGCCCTTCATCGTGAAGGTTTTTATTACGCAGCCGAAGATGGACGCACTCGTCTCATACATCGAGTGGTACCTCGAGTGCGCGCGGGCATCGGAACACACTGACACCTCCCTCCTTGAGTTCAAGACAAAGGCACACCGGTGAGTAGTATAGTTCACAGTGTGTTGCGTTCATTCTCCGACTGCTTGCTAAATATTGATCGACATGTTTTGGCCTATACGCAGGATGTTACACAACCTCAAGACCGCATTCCCGCACACGTCGGATTGGAACTTCATTAAGATGCACCTCATCAGTCACTACATAGACTCCATTCGTAGGTCGGGCTTGCCCGAGCATTATTCTGCACAACTATACGAGCATCTGCATATAGAGTACATAAAAAACCCTTACCGGGCATCGAATAAACGGTCAGTCAATAGCCAAATCGTTGGCAGCAAAGAGGCACGGCTTCGTCTTCAGTATATCGCGCCACAACTCATGGCGAAGAAGAAGTATGACACCGCCATGGTGAAGGTAAGAACTAGACTTATGTGTATGGTTCTTGATTATTTCCATCGAGCATGGAATACACGTAACGAGATGATGGTGGTGTTCCATGCCTGCAGGCCCAACGGACAGGCGAGCGGGTTCTATCCAAGAGGAGTTGGGCATTGTACGTGCCAGAAACACGTGTTGGAGCCCCATACCCTCACGTACCGGACGCGAAGCGTGATGGCCCGTTGCAGGCCATCATCGGCGAGGAGTTGAAACACGCGTGCGGCATTGGATAGGGCACCTGGCTGTGACGGCAATGGGGAAGCTATCAAGGAAGTACATGTATGTACGACGTCCAGTCCTGCCCCGTCGTAGCTTTTGTAACCGTACCCAAACAATATGACTCTTCTTGTTGACGGTACCTTTGCAGGTCCACTGGGAACTCGCCATGCCAGCTGCGGTTGATGCGCAGTATAGTCGCCTGCCGCACCACATCCGCGCCCTGCCCATGCACCACGGTCGTCAATGGTTTTCTGATGTGGCGGTCAAAGGTGAGGGCTCAGACGGGGACGAGGAGTGGTTTGCGAAAACCCTTCTGTTGTTTCATGCCAAGGTTGCGGGCACGGTTAAAAACTATGCATTCGTGAAGTACTACAGGGAACAGGCCAGCGTTGATGCAGCCACCAAGTGCAAGGTTTTGCACTGGGAGGGAGTTAATCAGAGGTACCGAGTAATCAGTATTGATAGCATCAAGCGCGTGGTACAGTTAGTGCGACCGGACAAAGACGCTGAAAAGTGGTTCGTTAATAGGTTTGCATGGTGAAAACTTCATACAGTGGCCTGGCAGGCAAACAAAGCCATCTAGGTTGCCTTAGCCTTTTAAGAGTCAAATACTTCAATCTGTATTTTATATTACGTTCCCAATTCGTTTGCAATCAGTACCAGACAACATACTTTGTCCCGCTTCCTCGTTATTAAGTCATCATCGATGCAATGGCAGCTGCCATACGCAACACCGTCAGACAAGGATAACTGCCTCGTGTTGCGCACTGTGGGGTGCACCTGAATGTGGATGGCGGTGTCGCACTAGTCGGTCGAAATCTTCCAGTTGCCAACACAGATGGTGGCAGCTTCTGATTGGTTCATTATGCGGCAATAACAGTCGTGTTGGCAGCACGATAGTCGAAAACGAGACACATTCAGGCATTTTCTCTAGCTACGTGCCACACTGCGCGCCGCACAAGCGTGACATCAGCTCTGTTGGAGTCGAGGTCTGCGCAGTGGCGACGTTTGTCTCACCTGCACCTTTCGAAGTGGTGCTTGTACGAGATGGAAATTTTTAGTTGTAAACTAACCGCTTGACCGCGACCGTGGTTGTTCCATTTGCTTTCGAGTAAATATCAAACAAGTTCGTGTTTGACGCGCAACTGTGATTTCAACACCTTTTTTCGTTCACACCACGCTAGATCACTACAGTTTGAAATATCATAGTTTCATAGCATAGTTTATGGGTGTGTTTTTTAGTTTAGGCACGTTAATCCACATATATGCATGTTACCTTGCTTCGTCGTTCGCCGAATCAAAGTTCACAGTAACATTTTCCGGGAAAAGGCATGGGAAACAATTGACATATGGGGTTGAGAAGTCGCAAACATTCACTGTGTCGCTAAAAAATTCAGATAATATGCCGTGCGAAAAAAAAGCTCATGGCTGGTTGCGTCGTGGCATTTTCCCCATTTGGTAAGTTTAACTGGTCATCAACCATCACTATCCTCAAACCTATGGCTCAGAATGGGGGACAGTTAGTGCGGGCAGGCACCGGGAAAAGAGTTTTGCTAGATCCAGCAGGGGTCACCTTGCCCCACCCTCATTCTGCTCTCAATCTACTCGATGCCTCTGCACTGTCACAGCTGGGAGATGACATTCTTACAGAAGAGAATAAGAGGCGGCAGTTAGCTAAAGAGGCTGCTTTAAAAACAGCTGCAGTCAACACTCTCCACGGTGCTCCCACGGTTGGTAAGACGGCAGCTGCAGGCCGTCGGGGCGGGTCTAAGAGGAAACGTGCTGCCGCCGGCTCTGGTGCGAGTGGTCGATCCTCTAGTGCAAATGGCAACATTCCTGTAGGCTCGCCATCCGCTGACAACCCTACCGCCGGCACTTCGTCAGAAGCAGAAGGCGCGAACCCTGCATTGGTGGCAGAAGCAATGGACACCACGCAAAACGGCGCACCAACCACACGCGGCATAGTCTGCGGTATCGCGTCAGACGCAGATATTGGAGCTCTCCCTGCACCCCCCGTGCCTGCCGCCGGAGCCCCGGGTCCGATGATGGCAGTAGTGATTGAGGCCGCAGAGGAGGGCGGCGTGGATCCCTTCATCGCGTACGGCATCGAAGCTGGTAGCGACGACGAAGACGGGAACTACGACGATGCAGATGATGTTGACGGCGTCCAAGCGGGAAACGACGATGAGTTGCGCGCAGCGGAGGTTCGCGCTGCGGAAGTGTGCGCGGCGAAGGTTCGGGCGGTGGAGGTTCGGGCGGCGGAGCTTCGGGCGGCGGAGCTTCGGGCGGCGGAGCTTCGGGCAGCGGAGATTCGGGCGGCGGAGATTCGAGCGACGGAGATTCGGGCTGCGGAGGTTCGCGCGGTGGAGGACCGCGCTGCAGCGGTTCGAGCGGCAGATGTGCGCTCTGCGGAGGCTCGCCAGACGGAGCTGGCGCCGCACACCTCGCAGCCTAATAACCCGACAGCACCCGTTAGGCGTGAGCGGTCGCAAGGCAAGCAAACGCAACACGCTCATAGCTACGGTGCCAGTTCTTGAATTGTTGCTTAGCTCCATCCTACGTTTCCCCCCCCCCCGGCCCCCCACTCGCCCCCTCCTCTCGCCAATGTGTTATGCATTTTATTTCTATGAGCTGAGCTCTGTTGCTCATAACGTCGGCTGGATGACTGTCTAATTGTTCTTTCCACTTGCTTGTTGTCTGCCTTTCTCGATACGTGTTATTCCCGGGGCTTGTCCCGTAGTTGCTGGTGCGCACCATTTCAGGGAAGCACAACAGCTGGAGGCACAATTGCGTGACCTGCAGAACACGGTCTCCACTCTAAACGCGCAGCTGCAGGAGGCAAGGGCCAGGATCAAGGCGGTGGAGGCTGAACGCGATAGTCTGAAAACGCAGTTGGAGTCGATGCAACGACAGCTTTCAGCGGAAGTCGCTGGAACGAGCTCGGACGTGGGCACCCTTCGGGACCCTTCTGACCCCCTGGTCCGAATGGAGAACGTCCGTAAGGACATTGCGGGCAACCCGACCATTCTGTCATCAGTAACCAGCAATGATGCATTCGATGTAAGTCAGTTAACCGAGGTGCCATTCTGATAGTATGTATTTTCGGATGTGCTGTCCTTTTATGTCTTGCAAGTTCTGTCTCTAAACCCGCCCCCAACCCTTCCTCTCGCTACCGCTCTCGGCCCGTCCACCACTTCCTTCTGTCCGTCTTTTGTGAGTCCCGTCCACAAACTTGTGTGTAGCATGTCCGGTGCCTGAAATTTAACCCCCTCCTCACCCTTGTGCGTCCTTGTGTTGATTGTATGGAAATGGTGGGTAAAACCTTCGCCTGGCTCATCACCCTTGCCCCTGCAGGAGAGATGGAGTTCTATCCTCTGTGAGAAGAATTCCAACCGCATTTGGTGCGCAAGTACATAGCTGAGGGGACCACGCAAGATGAGTACTACCTCTTCATGGGCGGGAACAGCAAGCGCATTGATCGGGCGCTGAAGGTGATTGGCTGCAAACGCGCGAACATGAACAAGCCGATCAAGCTCTAGGCGTGGGGTGCTGGTGGTACCTTTTGAAGTTTGGTGGCATCACTCCATCAAAGGCGCGCAACGAAAAGGAGTGGGTGGAGCAGTTCAAACACCGTGAGTGTGCTTGTCTTTTCTCACATCCGCACCATGCTGGAATGTTCTTGCGCACAGATCTGATTGCCATTGTTTTTATCTCCGCAGCGAAGTATGGCTACGACTGGCATTGCTCTGCTCAGGGCCGCCCTTTCGCGAATGCAGCCTTTGAGCTGGCAGTCAAAAAGGCATTCGTCAGTGCCCGGTGCAACATGTTTGCAGTGAAGATTCCAGCGGTCGGCTATCTGTGCAACGTGGTAAGATGTCACTTGTGTTATTTGATCCAGTTTGTTTCCCCCTGCATATTGTTCTTAACTTAAGCGCCTTTCATTGGTGGCAGGTTGAATGGCCATTGGAGAACCACAAGGGCAAGAAGGGCCATGCATCTCTGGACAACAATGAGACCAACAACCGCAACAACGTCCATGCCAAGACGAGGGTGGTTGCTGCCTGGCTGAAGGAAACCCTTGAAAGGGAGCCTGCCACGTTCAAGATCGATGAGCCCATGGGGTTTGAGATGGGCATTGGGAAAGTTAGGATTTTGATAGAGGGATATGAGTTGTTTTTCTTCCCCTCAGGGGTCGTTCCAACCCCCTGGCCTCCTATTAACAACATGTGAATACTTTCTAAATGTAGTAGGTTTTTTCTAATTGATGATTTTATGATTTAGAGTATTATGTAATCACTAATTCTGCAGAATTATATCAACCTTTTTATATCGTAGTCAATGCCGTTTTATATCAATGTAGCAATAATATTAAATATATTGAGATCTGTTGCATACAATCATGTCACTTTATTTTCCACACCATTTACTATATTGAGTTGTTAATTTCCAGGAATGCAACAAATTCCTCGATAACGAGCTGAAATATTTAGTTTAGCAGGTTACAATTGAAAATTAGTTGCTCAGGTAACCATATCGTAAACGCCAGCACATCTTCCCAATTGTTCGTCGCAACGGTGTGTACCACCAGTTCCTGCCCTAAACCGATGTTGTTCCTACAGTCCACGTGGCCAATCGAAGCTGACACCTCGAGCTGATTTTGACCGCAACCTGCAGAATCCGTTCGTTGTTGCTGCATCAACCACCACACAGCCGAACTTACCTTCGGACCGAAAAGTGGTTATCAACCAGCGTTGACAGCACCACCTGTTTTGGGCAGATGATTGCCTCATTAACTAGGCAAGCGGAACACGACAGTCAACTCCCACGCTCCTTCACCTCCTCGACTGTTTACTGCCCCAAACTGGGCTGACATTTTTCTGATGCCGAAAGGTCGTCATCCCCTACGATGCCTTCGGACTGGGCGGCGGCCGCGGGCTTCATGTGCTCCAGGCCGCACGCAGAGATGCGCAGGCCATGGCGCCCCCAAATCCACGCCTCGCGCTCCGCGTCATACTCGGGGTTGCGGATACGGATCGCCCTCTCCACGGCCTCCTTGACCAGGACCTTGAGCCCATCCACAACGTGGGCGTTCCCGCCCGCCAAGTTGGAGAGCCGGCCTTTCCGCGCCTCCCAGTAGAGGACGCATTCGGAGACCTGCGCCCAACACAAAAAGCGTCAGTCCATGCATTTCCAGTAGGATGCACACCATTGCACACATCGCGCGCACACACTCACCACATGCTCCAACCAGGCTAGGTGGTACACCTTAAGGGTCATCACCAGCCCTGCCTTCTTTGGCTTGAAGGCAGCCTTCGGACATGTCGCGAACACCCGGGAGGCAAACAGCATGCCATCCCTGTCGTGCGCCCAGCTCGTCAGCACTAGAGCTTCTGCACACCACATCCGAAGCGTGGGTATCAATGTCCACAATTCTCGCATTGGTGCATGACTAGAAACGGTCGACGACTCCAACGCGCGTCTCATGCACTCACCAGGGGGGTCAGCGCCAAGCCCAATGCGCTCCCTTATCTTCTCGATACTACGCTCCTTTTCAGGTGCCCACGGGCTGGATGCGTCCCTGTCGTCCCGGAACAGGCCGAGCTTGGGAAGTGCAATGTCTCGCACGCGAGCGGCAGCCCTTGTCTTCCACTCCGACCGCGTCTCGTTGAGATCCGCCCGTCGCGACTTGTCAGCCGCCAACGCCAAACAAGCGAAGCTGTGAAGGCAGGCGGTCCAGCACCGCGCACACTATGTGAGTCTTATCGTCGCTGCTCGGGTAGAAGGTCATCAACGACGTGGGCCTGTTGAGAAACATGTGAACTCTGGCCAGCTCGCAAACCCGCTGCGCACCCATAGTATACACCATCACCAACATCAGCATTCACCGTGGACCATCAACGGGTACAGAGTGCAACCCAATCCGGACGGGAAGTTACTGAACCGAGATGGAAACATGCCCGCTCACCTTCCACGCCTTGTCTGTCGGCAGATGCGCCAACGCGCGTTGCAGAATAGGAGACTTTGCAGTATGCATATGACGACCACCAGAACCATGCGTATCTTCCTCGTCGTCCTCTCCGTCATCGTCCAACCCGCCGCTCCATGTCTCGCCACGCTTACGCTTGGGTTCATGCACCCCTGCTCCGGGTCTCTCTGCTTCCGAGCCTTACGCTTACGAGATCCACCAGAAGGCTGCGCCATTGCATTCAAGAACAGCGCCTCCAACCGCGCGTTCTCCTTGGCGCTCCTGTCCTGAGCCTGGATGAGTTGCTCGAGAACCCTGCTCGAGATGCGCACGTCATCGCCGTCGGTGTCCACTGGGGTCCCGCATGCGCGGTCTACATGCACGTCCACATGTCCTCGACCTTCGCCCCGAAACACATCCGTCTCCCCCGCGCCCCAACTTTCGCGCCCGTCTGCTTTGGGTGAAGCGGTTCCCGCACACCCATCATCGGCCGTCTTCCCTCCAGTGGCAGGTTCGCCAGATTCTTCGGGTGAGGCTGAGGCCGATGTGTCTGAGTCTGCCTCGCCATCCTCTTCATTGCGCTCGGACGATGAAGCACTCTCTGCACCAGTGCCGTCATCTGCGATGATACAGAGGCTCCAGACAAGCACGGTACCACATGTCAGCTATACTTGTTGTACACGGGGGTTCATACATATAGACAATGCAAACACTCGCATTAATACAACGAGTCACCCATCCACGCTCTTTCTGCATACCTTGCTCATGCTGTACCACCTCGTTTCCCTTCTTGGCCACGCTCAAACGCTTAGGCAGTGTCGGCCCGCGTTTCCCGTTCGACAACCGACCGCGCGGCATTGTCAGCTGATACGACGCTCGGAGGTACGCCGGCGGGTTAGATACACGACGGGCACGCCCTCCCGTCCAAGTATCCTCTAAAGCAAGCGAAGTATCCATTGTAGCAACAATAGTATCCAGTGAGATGCTCACAGAATGACGCGCGGCTCTATACTTCTACGTATAGCTTCCGCTCAACTTCTTAACACACCGGAGCCCATCTTGGGCAGTGAGTTTGGTAGGCAATACGACTTCGTGGCCATTTGGATGACCGCAATCCGAAACGGCGAATACATGCACACCACGTCATCCGCCGCCATGTACATGTGTGTACACATGAACCACACACCGCGCACATCCTGGCGACACAATCGTATCGTTGGAACTCGTTTGTGAGTACATCCTATCTCACGGAAGTATTCACTGCGCACGTTGTTGACGTACATCCTTTCACTATACATCTCACCAATTGCACGTTACACTAGCACACAATGTACCGACAATTGAGCTCCATTGTGTAAGCAAGAGCCTTCGCACCCATCAATCGCGAATACAAGCAGAAAATCTGACGCCCTGCACATCTCTAACTGCATTTTTCGCAAAACATACTGTACAATTGCAATCATGTGTACGTCTATGCATCTACATCAACTATGCAGGATGGTCTGCCAACTTCTCATGTGCAACAAAGTCTTCCACACCCTCCTCGGCTTTGTTGTGCCGAGCACACCCGCCGCTGCCGTCCTCAAGTTGCGGCCCCGCCGCCCTCAAGTTGCGGCCCCGCCGTCCTTACGTCGCGCCCCCGCCGCCCTCACGTCACGGCCCCGCCGCCTCACCTTCGCGGCCTCGCCGCCCTCACCTTCGCGGCCCCGCCGCCCTCACCTTCGCGGCCCCGCCGCCCTTACCCACGCGGCCCCGCCGCCCTTACCTACGCGGCCTCGCCGCCCTTACCTACGCGGCCCCACCGCCCTTACGTCGCGGCCCCGCCGCCCTCACGTAGCGGCCCCGCCGTCTCACCTTCGCGGCCCCGCCGCCCTCACGTAGCGGCCCCGCCGCCTCACCTTCGCGGCCCCGCCAGTCTCCCCTCCTGCCGAGCCGCCTGAGCAGCCGCCCGCCACACCGCCCAGTACGGGAGCAGCCGAGCCGCCCAGCAGCAGCCGCAGAGCCGCCGGGCCGCCGAGCCGCCCAACAGCCGAGCCGCCCAACAGCCACCGCCGAGCCGCCGAGCCGCCGAGCCGCAGTACCGCCGAGCCGCCCCGCAGCCGAGCCGCACTACTGCCGAGCCGCCCGACCTGCCCTGTCTGGTGAGCACAGCCCCACTGCTACTGCGTGCCCTTCCCCCACTGCTTGCACTGCTAGTCTGTCGTCATGGCTACCCCTAGTGTCCTCGCTTTTGACGCTGAGGGTCGAGCCATTGACTTTGAGGTCTGGGTCGACAACCTGCAGCTGTTTTTACAGTGCGATAGGGCGGACGGTCTTTCTCTCTTTGACCTCACCTCTGGCGCCTCCTCTGCTCCTGCTGCTGATGCTGACCCCACTGTTCGCTCTCAGTGGGCCACCCGCGATGCTGCTGCACGTCTTGCTGTGCGTCGCCACCTGCCTACCACTGAGCGCGCGCACTTTAGTCAGTACAAGAGTGCTCAGACCTTGTACGACGCTGTAGTTGCGCGCTACTCTTCCCCTGCCACTGCTGCACTGAGCCGCCTCATGCTACCGTACCTCTTTCCTGACCTTGCTGCCTTTCCTACAGTCGCTGACCTCATCACGCACCTCCGCACTTCTGACACTCGCTACCGCGCCGCACTTCCTGCTGAGTTCTGCACCAAGAACCCCCCCCCCATGTACATCGCTCTCTATTACATAGTCACTCGCCTCCCTGACTCCCTTCGCGTAGTCAGGGACCACTTCCTCTCAGTCTGTCCCACCACCCTCACTATCGACCTCCTCGAGAAGGCCCTCCTAGCGGCGGAGAAGAGCATAGTCGCTGTAGGAGCCTCTCGTGGTGACCCGCGCACCCCCATCTTTGAGGGGTGTTCTCCTTCCCCCCTGCTGCCCTCTGTTGCCTCTGCTGCTGCTGCCGACCTGCTTGGTCTTGAGTCGGTCGGCGCGGCGTCTGCCCCTAGCGGGAGACGCCGCCCTGGCAAGGGCAAGGGGGGCAAGGGCGCGGGTGGAGCTGGCGGGGGCGGTGGAGGTGGCAGTGGCGGTGGCGGAGGGAGTGGGGGTGGCGGTGGGAGTGGTGGTGGGGGTGGTGGTGGTGGTGGCGGCAGCGGAGGCGGCGGCGGTGGCGGCGGCGGCGGTGGGAGCGGAGGCGGCGGTGGTGGCGGAGTTGGAGGCGGCGGTGGCGGAGGAGGTGGAGCCGGTCGGGGTAGTGCCCCGCAGCGGAGCGGCTCTGGTGGTGGTCAGCGCCAGCAGCAGTAGCAGCAGCAGCGTTCTCGGGACATCCCCCCACCTCAGCAGCTCCGTGAGTGGTACACGCAGCGTCAGCGTGGTGGGGGTCTTGGCCCGTGCACCTACGTTCTTCATTCCGGCGACCGCGCGGGTGAGCAGTGTGGGGGTGCCCACTCCACCCAGCGCTGCTTTGGCCGCCTGACGGACGCTTGGCGTCAGCGGTTCCCCGAGGCTAGTGAGATTCCCCGCTGGGGAGAGCTGTCTAGGGCTGGCGTAGCGATCTTTGATCTTGACTTTGATGCTATCCTTGCTGCCATGTATGCTGTGACTATTAGTGATGAGGGTGACTATTACCGGTGTTTCCCGCCCGACCCGGGCATTGGTACTGCTGCGCTAGGTGCTTGTGAGGCTGCTGCTCTAGGTGCCAGTGCGTCTGTACTCTCAGGTACTTGTGAGGCTACGCTCTCAGGTACTGCGTCGGCTTCGGCCTCCCTCACCTTCACACTTGACTCAGGGGCTTCTCGCTCCTTCTTTCGAGACCGCACCACACTCACGCCGCTTAGTCGGCCGGTTGCAGTCTCCCTGGCTGACCCCTCTGGGGGTCCTGTCCTCGCTCACTTCTCCACTGTCCTCCCGTGTCCGGCTGCCCCCTCGGGCACCCTGTCGGGTCTGTACCTCCCCTCGTTCTCGACGAACTTGGTGAGTGGTGCTGACCTGCAGGATGCGGGGGTTCACCAGTTTACTCCTGCGAGTCAGCGGGGGACCCACTGCTCGGACGCCCGCACAGGCCGACACCTAGCCACGTTTTCGCGTCGGCCCGGGTCGAGTCTCTACACCCTGACCATTGAGTCTCCTCCAGTCCCTGCGTCTGGCCAGGTAGCTGCGTCGGGTCAGGTGTTTGCTGCTGCGTCCAGGTCTGGTCCTGAGTCTGCCCCCTGCTCGTGTCGCCTCCTGTCTCACGAGACTCTCTTGTGGCACCACCGTCTTGGCCACCCCTCCTTGCCTCGTCTTCGAGGCATGGCTTCCCGTGTCCTTGTCTCTGGTCTCCCCCGGTCTCTCCCTCCCCTTCCTTCGGGGCCAGGACCTTCCTGTGTCCCCTGTGTCGAGGGGCGGCTCCGGGCTGCCCCTCACTCCTCCCAGTTTCCCCCGACAGAGGCTCCTCTGCAGACGCTTCACATGGACGTGTGGGGCCCGGCCCGCGTCCGTGGACAGGGTCACGAGCGCTACTTCCTGCTGGTGGTTGACGACTACTCGCGTTACACCACGGTCTTCCCCTTGCGCAGCAAGGGTGATGTCACTGGGGTGTTGATCGACTGGATCCGCGCAGCTCGTCTCCAGCTCAGGAGGAGCTTCGGCTCGGATTTTCCTGTTCTGCGTCTGCACTCTGACCGAGGCGGAGAGTTCTCCTCTGGCCTTCTACGAGCCTACTGTCGTGCACGAGGCATCCGCCAGACCATCACGGTTCCAAACTCTCCACAGCAGAATGGGATTGCTGAGCGCCGCATTGGCATGGTCATGGACGTCGCTCGTACGTCCATGATGCATGCGGCTGCCCCCCATTTTCTATGGCCGTTTGCGGTTCAGTACGCGGCGCATCAGCTCAACCTTCACCCCAGGGTCTCCCGGCCGGAGACCTCCCCAGCTCTGCTGTGGACGGGGAAGGTCGGCGATGCGTCTGCGTTCCGTGTGTGGGGATCTCGGGCGTTTGTCCGCGACTTGTCTGCGGACAAGCTGTCTCCTCGTGCTGCTCCCTGTGTCTTCCTAGGCTTCCCCCCTGACGCCCCAGGGTGGCAGTTCTACCACCCCTCCTCTCGTCATGTTCTGTCCTCCCAGGACGTCACGTTCGACGAGTCCGTCCCCTTCTACCGCCTCTTCCCCTACCGCACTCCTTCCCTCCCCCCGCCACCGCACTTCCTTGTGCCAGGTCCCCCCCCGGTAGACCCCCTTCCCCCTCAGGGTCCTACCCCTTCAGGTGTGTCCCAGGTCGATGCAGTCGAGCCGGTCGAGGTTGCTGGTGACTCAGGTACTGCTGGGGGTGCTGAGCCTGGGGGTGCTACGCCTGGGGGTGCTGAATCTGGGGGTGCTGAGTTTGGGGGTGCTGAGCTTTGGGGTGCTGGGTCTGGGGGTGCTGAGCCTAGGGGTCCTGAGCCTGGGGGTGCTGAGCCTGGGGGTGCTGCCTCTTGGGGTGCTGCGCGCGGGAGTGCTGAGCCTGGGGGTGCTGCGTCTGGAGCTGCTGAGCCTGGAGGTGTGGAGCCTGCGGCCACTGGACCTCCCCTTGTGGCGTCTGGCGGTGCTAGGCGTGGAGGTTCTCTGGGTGTTTCGTCTCGGCGGGAGCCACTCTCTCCATAGGAGCTGCGTGAGTGGTTTGCTCGCCGCTGGAGGCGTACGGCTGGAGCTGGCGCTTCTTCAACCGCTGAGGGTGCTGGTGCCGCCGGTCCCGGAGCTGCTGGGCCTGCGGGTCCGCCTGGAGCTGGAGCTGCTGAGGGTGCTGGTTCTGAGACTACTACTGTCAGTCCTGGTGGTGGTCGTGCTGCTGGTGCTACTGGAGGTCCTGCCGCTGGAGGTGCTGTTGGCGCTGGTGCTGCCCGAGGTGCTGAGGGTGCTTGTGCTGTCCCTGCTGTGTCTGGATCTGC